CTTGACTTCTGAGGACAGCCTTCCTCTGGTTTCCTCTATCTCCCTGGTCAAACTTTTTAGCTATTTATCCTTTATTTGGCCAAGTAATATTTCAAGGTCCTTTACTTTCTTCACTTTAACATCCTTTATTCAGGCCCCAGGTGTCTTTTAATATAGGCATGAGTAATATATGTGCACAGATTTACATGTTACACTGGTGTCTACTTTGTTGACAAGTGTAATCTCAGTATTATACACACATCCTCTTTGTGCTAGTTACAATAGCAACTTTACATTGTTCCTGTAGTTGTTGACTGCTATTTGTCTTTATTAATATGTAAATCCTGCGTGGCTAAGAGTTACGTGTTTGTGTCATAAGTAACAAGCATAGAAAATGCTCAACCAATACCTTGAAATATATGTTAAGGGCAGAGATAGTTAACCCAGTCAGTAGGGCTAATGTACATAGGTAAGGAGAAAACTCACAATATCAGGTAAACTGAGTATGTCAATTAAGAAAAGAGCAAACAGAGTTACTTCTTCTCATCTTCTAAGGGATATCAGATGAGTTGATAGAGAATACATAATCTGGTGTTTTTTCCCGTTGTGGTCATGTCAGCACCCCAGCTGCCATGAAGATGTGGAAGTTGCTACATGCATAACAGCTCTAGTCAGTCTTGAAAAGTCATCAATCAGAGTATCATTGCTGCTGGAGACCAAGAAAGCCATTCCGGGATATCCCCACAGCTCCATCACTTACATACATGCCTCTGGCTACAAACAACTTCTATTCTCAGAGTCTTTCTTCAGTGCAACGTGATGAGCAATGACATCAGGATTGGAGAAATAACACATCAGCACAGATAAAGAAAACGAAAGCAGGCCCCAAACAGAAATTTTCCAGAAATGTATGGCTGGGAAACACATCATTGTTGAAGTAGAAATATATATATACATATATATATAGTTATTATAAATATATAGTTATTATAATGACTAATCAAAGCTTTGGGGCTTAAAATAAGACCAACTTATTAGCTTCCAGTTTTGTGGATCAGAAGTCCAATACAGATTTCACTGCTAAAATCAAAGCTCCAGCAAGATTATTGTCCTTGCCATTTTTGTTTACCTGCCTTCCTATCTGCTGCCCATGCAGCTTGCCTCAAAGCTCCATTCCTTCATCTGCAAAGGCAGCAAACGTCAAGCCAAGTCTTTCATGCTGCCTACCTGCCCTTCTCTCTCACTTTTGAGGAACATAGTGGTTACATCCAGATAATCCAAGACAATTCCCCTATTTTAAAGTCAGCTAATTAGCAACCTTAGTTCCATCAGACACCTTAATTTGCACTTCATTATGTAAGATAATATGCTTGAAGTTCCCAGGATTATGATTTTGTAAACTGTTCTGGAAAGTAACTTGATCATGTCCATGAAAACTTTAAATTTGGCCCTGAACTTCCCAGCTAGTAACTTACTTTTGTTTTTGTGCCAAAAGGCATGCTATAGCATTATCAATATTAAAAACAACAACAACTAGAAACCAACTAGGTGTTCACTAAGCAAGGTCATGTACCACCATACCCAGTTTGTTTATTAAGATGATATCTCACTTTTTGCCTGGGCTGGGATCAAACTGCCATTCTCATAATTTCAGCCTCCAGAGTAACTAAGGTGACAGGTGTGAGACACCACATCCAGCTTCTGTTATGTTTTGATGTGGTGCCCAAAGCTGTGGCAGCCATCCTGATGTGACAAATCTGAAGATGAAAGTCAACAGGAATAGTGGAGAGGAAGGAAGAAGAGAATCTGAGTCATTGGTGGCATTTGCCAAGCTGCTAAGCCTTCATCTTTCTGTTAAACAGACAATAAATATTTGCAGTTTAAGTCTCTTTAGGCTGGAGCTAATTATTTGCATTGAAGCACATAATTGATATAGCTTTGGTATGAAAAAGGAGATATATACACACACCTATATACGCATATATGAACATATAATTTCTCTGGCAACTGTTATAAGGAACAAAAATGGAATGGGTATATAGATAGTGACTTTTAGTCACTTTTAGTTCTGAGGAAGCTTCATAATGTCATAGTATTCTGGCATAGGGAAAAGAGCAGAAGAAAAGTTAATAGATTCAAGATATATTTGAGGATTAAAAACCATTGGACTTCTATTGGCTTAGATTTTAGAGGTGAAGAGGAAGGAGAAATAAGGCTTGATATTGGTGCCATCTGTTAATATGGAGAAGACAGGAAGAAGAAGTTTAGGGAAGGCAGTGGGATCAGAATTCTTTTTTTGGATGCGTTATATTTAAAATGCCCATAAGCTATTCAAACAGGGATGGCAGATCAGCAAGCAGATCTAAGTCTGAGACACAGGATTCAATTTCAGTCTTAGAATTAACAATCCATAGATGTTAAAGACACTGGGGAAAAAAACAGGATCTTTCCTATAGGCCAAAATCTGAGGAAATTTTAAATTAGAGGCTAGCAAGAAGGGAAGGAGACTGTGAAGTATTGAGACGTAGGAGGAAAACTGTCACACCACAAAAAGCAACAACGACTTAGTATCTATATTGAACTCAGTCTGTTTACACAGCTTGCTTTAGGCCAGGCTCCGCTCAAAGTACTCTGTGTCTTCAAAGAAACAAAGACAAACAAAAATTTTCTTTTCTGTCTTCATTCCTGCTTTCTCCTTTCACTTTTATCCCTCAAGTTGAATTGAAATGCAGTGCTTCTTTGTTCCCTTCTAAACTAGTTACATATTCAGTTAAAAATATTCAGTTGGTACAATACAGAAAAGCTAAATGTTGAAAATAAAGATTGTCAAACACTTCTTCCTCAACTTTACCTACCAGAGGTAATTATTAAGTTTCTTTATACCGTCCAGGAATTTTATATACAAACACACAGACATACACAACCACACATACACAATGTGTTTTTACACAAATACATTATCTCTCTGTGCATACACATACATATCTAATTCATAAACTTCATTTAACTACATTTTGAAGATATTTCTATATCAGCACACTTAGATTTATTTTACTCTTTTTTAAAGAGTAAATAAGTAACTTATGCTGTAACATTTCTGTATTTCTACTGATGGGCTATTCTGGATTTTTTTTTGTTTGTGTGTTACTTTTTTGATTACTTGCTACTGAACAACATCATCATAGATAAATCTTTACATATCAATGTAATAACAACTGCTGGAAAAATTCTGGTAGCAAAATGGCTGAATGGAGTCACATAATCGTCTCATATTGTCAAGTTAACTCTTCTCATGGGGTTACACAAATGACAATCTCTCTAAGAGTATGTCCTCATATCTTGGTCAACATTTGAAATTAACCAGCTTCAATAATCTGATTGTCTAATGGACCAAAGAAGTGGTAGATTGTTGCTCTTATTTGAGTCTCTAATTAAGTGTAGGCAATAGCCCTGATGATTAAACATGCAAGTCACCTTTATTGGATGGCCACAATAGTTGCAGTTAGAAGGGATAGATAAGAAAGATTAGTTTGACTGCCTTTGGATAGAAGCATGAGACTAAGATTTGTTTGTGTTTTTTTTTCTTTTTTTATTAATGTGTCTCATTTATGCTTTATGAAACAAAGAACACATGCAAGTCAGACTCCCTGGCCTGGATCCTCTTTCTCTTAAAATGTTTATCTCTGGATGAGTGCTTGTAGCTCAGTCCTGTAACCCTAGCTACTTGGAGGCTGAGATCTGAGGATCAGGTTCAAAGCCAGCCTGGCAGGAAAGTCCATGAGACTCCTCTCCAATAAACTACCAAAAAGCCAGAAGTGGAGTTGCAGGTCAAATGGTTGAGTGCTAACCTTGAGCAGGAAAAGCTCAGAAAAAAAGGGGGGGAGGGACAGGGGACGGAGTCAGAAGCAGGCAAAGAGAGTGTTAGGGTGTTAGGGGGGGAGGGTGATGTTGATTGGAATACATTGTAAACAAGTGTGGAAGCAATGAAATCCTCCTGTGTGTAACTGTTAGCATTTTTTTTTCAGGGAAAGAAATCCTTGTATTGTTAGATTGTGTGCAACTATGAAAATAGAACAAAGAAGCCTATTGTGATGGTTTGGGGAAGGAGGGAAAGGGTGCAGGGAGAGCCATAGAGTGAGATTGGTTGGAACACTTTGTAAACATGTTTGGAAATCAAACCCTGAAATCCCCCCTCCAGACTAAAGTCAGCTAGTAAAAAAGGAGAGAGGAGGAAGAAGGGTTAGGAAATGGGGGACGGTGAGATTAAATCTGTGGGATTAAGCAGAGGTGGAAAGCTTTCTGATGTGGCTGGTACTTAATTCGTTCCAGCTGTATTTGCTCCAAAGTCCTCTTCCATCCAAATTTTGCGCAACTCACTTAATGCCAGTAATTCCAAGCAAGAGGAAAAAAATAGCTTTTCTTAATATATATTATTATATATAATAATATATATTAAGAAAAGCTATTAATATAATATAATATTAATCATATTATTATACTATACTAACGATATTATTTATATAATTAACTATAAATATACAAATAATATATTTATATAAATATATTATATTATGTGTAATATATAATGTATAATATGTATTATATTATATACGATATTATATATAATATTACATATATTATACATTATTATAGTATATATTATTGTATGTATTATATATATTTCTGCCCTTCCAACCTTCAACAGACATGCTTTTATACATCAATTTGCATGTGAATGAGTTTCAGTTGTTTAAAATCCTGCAGAGGACTCGGCCCGAGCACCCCGTTTACAGAGAACACTAGATGATAAGTCCCGATTGCCACCTACCCAGCGTGTCCACATCCACACCCACCAGTGCATCGCACAGCTTTAAGAAACCGCTCTAGCTCCGCCCCGTACAGCACGCCTTGGGCCCGCCCCGAACACCACGCCCCCCTCCGGAAATGACGTACCCCTCTCGGTAGTTCTTCTTCCGCCGCCCGCCGGGGGCGCGGCCTGGGCCTGCGCGGGGTTGTGCGTCGCCCTCGCCGTCAGTGTTGCTGCCCGTAGAGGGATTGTGGGTAACGGCCCCGGCTGCTGGGGCGGCTTGGCTCCGCGCCGCGGGTTCCACTCCACGCCAAGTCCGTTGGCGGTGGCGGTTGTAAGGCCGGGCCCGGACAGACATGGAGCAGCCGTGGCCGCCGCCTGGACCCTGGAGCTGCTTCCCTCAGGCCGCCGGCGCGGCGGAGGATGAGAGCGACTTGGACGTGTCGCCGGGCTCCCCCGGCCGCTGCCCGCCGCTGCCGGGCGGAGGCGCCGCGGTGAGAGCGGGCACGCGTGCGGCGGGGGCGCGGGGGGAGAGGCTGCGCCCCGGGCCGGGGCTGATCGCGGTGCGGCAGGGCCCGGGGGCGGACGCCGGACTCCGAACCCCGGGTGCCCTCGACCGCCGCCGCCACCGCGCGACAGCTGCCCAGCGCGGTGTCATCGGCGCGGTGTCCCCGCGGCGCCCGGCTGCACCCGGGCTGCCGTCCATCCCTCGCAGCGCCCCGATCGATGTAGGGCAGCTCCCACGGTGCAGCCTTGACCCTTTTGTCCTCTCGCTAGGTGGTTTTTAGGCTCCGACCGAGGAAGGAATCGTGAGGGATCGCACTTGAAGAGTCACAAAAGATCACATCGGGGATCGGGGCTCTCCCCCACCCCCCTCCCCGTGACAGCTGAGTAAATTCTGGGAATCTCGGTGCTAAGCTGTTTGATTCTGGCTTTTGACTGTCTTTCCCTTGGTGCTTTGTGTTTAGTTTTGCCTTACTTGAGATGTTTTTTTTTTTCTTTTTTTCAACTCAGCTTTTCCTACCTCTGAAACTTACATGCGATGACAGTTAGGATTTCTTCCTGGTCTCAGGTAGTGCTCGAAAGGCTCACATCCCCTTGTTGGGGTATTTTCTTAACCTAGATGTCTTTTGGTCTGTATTTTGGGAACCACAGAGTACACAGTATGTTCAGGGACATGGCTTGTACATGTCTGCCTGCTCAGTTTTAGGGTTTTTTTTTGTTGTTGTTGTTTTGTTGTTTTTCTTGAAACCCCTTATTTTGCCAGATGCTAATGAAGATGAGTGATTTAAATGGTTTGCCAGCAAACAGAGCATAATAGCCTTAGGACTAGCTAAAGGAGTTTCAATGGGCTTCATACCCGAAAAATGCTGTTTCATAACTGCAGACGGCCCTGCTCCAGCTAGTCAGTAGGAAAGCAAGGCAGAATGAGAGCTGATGGGGGAGTAGTCACCCACTAATTATGGATCACTAGTGTCATCTGTATGTATCATGTATTATGAGCACATAATTCATTACAGGGAGAATGAACAACAGTTTCAGGTGCTAATTATGGAGAGAAAGTATAGTCTTAAATTTTTAATTGCAATTATGATTGAAGCACATAAAAGTAACCCAAGAGAAAGTGAATATTAAAGAGTATTAAATTTTCACTCCTGCACTTTTAGGTGCTTTTTTAGGTGAAAAGGTTTTAGAAGTGAATAGGCTGCTTCTCTTTTTCATTGAAAGTGATTTCTCCAGGAGAAAGATTGGGTTCAGAGGCAAAGGGAAGAGCGATGAAAGGGGGTGATATCCATCAAGATGCATTGTATTTGTTGAATCGGAACTCCTTTGAACAACTGCTCAAAGATTTTTTTTAACTGTAATTGTTTAAAAAGTGAGTTTCCCAAGTCCATATCAGTAGGTAATAATAGTAGAGTAAAAACTGGAATTTATTGTTTTAATCCAGCATTTTTTCCCTTTCCCTGCACTGCTTATCCTGTGAAGTACTATAAAACTTGGTCTAAAACTACCTTTAAATGGTGTTGAAATTTGCAAAGTCATTATTCACTCTTTTTAGTTTATTACAAACCTTTTTGTCTTACTGGCTGTAGGACTTAAATATCTGGATTGGGACATCTGGAAATGTGTGATCCACTTGGTAGGCATTTAAAGTCCAGTTTAAAATAAGGTTTGGATTGACTTTTACTGGCTAAGAAATATCTGGACATCTTAAAATGATAAATGATATATAGGTCTGGGATGCAATTAATGAAAAGATAGATGTAAATTTAGAGGTCCTGTTACTGAATTTTTTATGTAAGTTACATTAGAATATTTTAATGCTAACCCTTCTTTTTGAAATTTTTGTGTATTAAAATATAATTTTGTCCCTCTACAGATTTAATATGTTCACAGATTGAAATAATAACTAATAACTAATATTTTATTTAGTCTTCTGAATACATATTAAATTTATGGTTAAATGGTGTCTTACTAGTTTAAGGAGCATAGTTCATAGATATAAATCATTCTTAGAATGATTTGATTTCAAACATAAATACTTGCTCCTATGTAATTTGAAAATGTAAGACAGTCCACTTATCTCTGTTGCCTTTCTTTTTTAAAAAAATTATTGTACAAAATACATATACTGCATTTTTATCTTATTTACCACCCTACTCATTACTCTTTCTTGGGGCCTTTTTTCTTTTTTCTTACAAATTCTTTTTTTTTTTTTTTGGTCAGTTGTGGGGCTTGAACTCGGGTTGGGCACTGGCCCTGTGCTCTTCAGCTCAAGGTGAGTGCTCTACTGCTTGAGCCACAGAGCCAGTTCTGGTTTTCTAGTGTGGTTTATTGGAGATAAGAGTTTCACAGATTTTCCTGCTGGCTTTGAACACCAATCCTCAGATCTCAGCCTCCTGAGTAGCTAGGATTACAGGCGTGAGCCACAGGCACCCGGCCTTCTTACAAATTCTTTTAGCTTCATTTTTCTCTTTTTCTTGGACAATTTTAGGCCTAGTTAATCTACAGTTTTTCTTGAGACTATTCAAAGATAGTGGCAAATAAAAATAAATGTTTTACTTGATTATTTAGGGACACTGTGTGTGATACCTGGGCTCCAAGCCTACTGAGTGAATAAATAAAACAAGGCTAGCAACAGTGTCAATCCACATTTAACCCAGTAAAAATCTTGACCTTGTTTGAAAACTCAGCTAGGAAGAAGGGGCCTTGCTTTCTACTTGCCTCAGAATTCTTTATCATACCATTCTATTCAATTGTTTATTCATCTGACATTTATTTAATTTTACCTTTTTGAGATGCTGATAGTTAAGGAAACAAGCACAATACTATGTGAAAAACATTGTTCTAGAAATATTCATATATTGAGTAGAAAGAAAATAAAGACTTAGGGATGCCATAATCTGCAATAGGAATTACCTAGGGGGAGGAAGATTGCCAAGTAAAGAGATGGGTAAGTGTTGGAATAAGTAAGAGTAATTAAAACTGAGTCTGTAAAGATAATAGGAAGTAGAAGTCTAAGGGACCAGGCTATTATACAGAGTTGCACATTATCCCAAGAGTCTAAAGAATGAATAAAATGATCAGATTTGGGTTATAATTTGAAAAGATCACTTGGGCTAGTAAGGTAGAGAGTGGTTGAGATAAGACAGACTCTATTTGTGTAATTCAAGTGTAAAATTATAAAGTCTTGAATAGTGATGCAGATAGGGGAACTGATTGGAAAGAAATTATTCTTAATGAATGCACCTACATTTGGCCAAATACTTTACATACAGTAAATAAATAAAAATTAGTGCAGATCAATAGGCTAGGTTAGTTGACCCTTCTTAAATAACTTTGCCAATTTTGACTAGGTAAAAGGATATGTGTCTTACCAATTATAAGTAGGAATTTCTCTTAAGAATTTCTGACCTCGGACATGGCTCAAATGGTAGAGTATTTGCATATCCCTGAGTTCAAACCCCAGTTTTGCAAAGCAAAACAAAACCCCCTCAAATCTCTAAAGGTCTTCTTTTCTGCATGTGGAATGTTGAAGTGATGAATTACACTTCAGCTTTGTTCTCATTCTGCTGGCACAGTATTATGAAGACAATAAATCATGTTTGTTGAGCACCAGGTATATGGCAGCCACTGTAATAGTTGACAGGCTTTCTGTTATTTTCAGAAGGGCATAAGTCAACAGAATTGCAGTCTAATTGGTGAAACAAGGCCTATAATATAAAATGTAGCTATAGCTGCAGAGTACAAGTCATACATTGCGCCAAACATGGTATAGAGATCCTTTGACTTAGAAAAAAAAATTGAACTGTGCTGCACAAACATTTATTGCCTTCTTCATTTCTTACAAGTGTTTTCTCATTCAGATATATAGCCAAGAGATTGAGCTGGCTTGCCAAAAACAGAAGGAGTTTGTGAAGAACTCTGTGGCGTGCAAATGGAATCTTGCTGAAGCTCAGCAGAAACTTGGTAGCTTAGCACTACATAACTCTGAGTCCTTGGATCAAGAACATGCCAAAGCACAAACAGCAGTATCAGAACTGAGGCAACGGGAAGAAGAATGGCGACAGAAAGAAGAGGCTCTAGTACAAAGGGAGAGGATGTGTCTGTGGAACATGGATGGCATTAGCAAGGATGTTTTTAATAAGGTATGGTATTTTATTGGACCATAAAAGGGGGGAAATGGAGACCAGGGCTGGAGCTTGAATTCCATCCTTAGACCTAAAAAGAATAAAAAAGAAGGGAGAGGTCAACCACTTGCCCTGAGGGAAGGATGAGGAAAAGAAAGAAGGTAGAAAACCCTGAAATATTTGTATATATTTGATAGCAAAGCAACCAAATATGACAGCTAGTGTTGTTTTGGCAGTTTGTGAAAAGTGCTCCTTACAGAAACCAACACCCTGGCAATTTCTAATTTAGGCAGTCTTCATACAAATACGCATCATGGCCCATGGCAGTGTGGATCTAGACTGCCTTGTATCTCAGCTTTGTCTCATGTTGGCTTTGTGACCTACGGCAAGTCACTAAATACCTCTAAATCTTGATGTCTTCAACTATGTAGGGTCAGTGTAAGATTAAACAATGTCTTAGAAGTGTGGTAGTGTGGGACCTATTGTTAAGCTCAGATGTGTGAGTGCATTCTGATGTTGCTGTGGCCTACCAGCCTGCCATCCAGGTTTTATGCACGCTCAGTTACTGATTCATGAGACAAATCTTTCAGTGGTTATTTACCAATATGTATACACTCAAGTGGTAATCTAGTACTGAGAGGACCTCCAGAAACGATGCAGGATATGTTACTTTTACCAAGCAAGTAGTTCTGTTAAATTATACTGAAATCAAAAAGTTCCTGTTTCAGGGGCTGGGAAGGTGGCTCAGTGGTAGAGCGCTTCCCTTGCATGCATGAGGCCCTGGGTTCGATTCCTCAGCACCACATAAGTAAAAAGAAAAAAGCCGGAAGTGGCGCTGTGGCTCAAGTGGTAGAGTGCTAGCCTTGAGCTGAAGAGCTGAGGGACAGCGCCCAGGCCCAGAGTTCAGGCCCCATGACCGGACCCCCCCCCCCCCCCCCCCCAAAAAAGTTCCTGTTTCAGGAAAAGTACAGAATGACCCTTTTCTTCAGATTGTAGACTCATGACCAACTTAAGTAGGTTCTGAAAACAGTTTGGCACATTTCAAGCAGCATTTTTCTTTACTACGTATCATACAGTAGAAAAAGTACATCCTACTTACAGTCAGTATTGTATTCTAAAACTCAAATGTTGCATGTTTTTGTATGTTAGAATGCATGTATAATTGACTTCTTAAATTGTAATTTAAAAGTATGAAAGTTCATATTCCAGAACTTCAGACAACTTTTTATTTTTGTTTTTATGGATTTTTTTCATTTTTTTTGTTTTGTTTTATGGCAACTGGAATCAAATCCAGGTCCTTTTGCATGTTAGGCAGGCACGCTAACATTGAGCTGCATTTCCAGCCCCTGTAGGCAGTTTTAATTTACCATTTTCAAATATTTGTTTATGTGTCTGCATGTGCTGTTGAACAGTCATTATATATAAAGTAGCACTCAGTGTTCTAAAGGATTGAGAAATGTGTTAAGGATGAAAACACACCTAAATTAGATTATTAAATGTTTTTTCCCACTTTTCTTTTTTTATATCTCCTACTTTTCTGGCTATTATTTTAGAGTTCCTTTAATTCACACATTTTGTAAGTGAAGAAACTGAAAAGTAAGTCATGACATAATGATACATTAAGTCTGAGAGAAAAATTCCATATTGTGAGATAAAGACCACTTAAAAATAAAGGTCTTGAATGTCCTTTAAAATGCCTTTAAGAATGAAAGTGATTGAGCCAGGCATTGGTGACTCATGCCTATAATCCTAGCTGCTCAGGAGGCTGAGATCTGAGGATCACAGTTCAAAGCCAGCTGAGACAGGAAAGTAGTCTGTGAGACTCTTACCTCCAATTTACCACCAGAAAACCAGAAGTGGCACTATGGCTCAAGTGGTAGAGTGTTCGCCTTGAGCTGAAGAGCTCAGGGACAGCGCCCAGGCCCAGAGTTTAAACCCCATGACCAACAACAACAAAGAATGAAAGTGATTGGGAGAGAGCAAGGGAAGGGGGTGACATCCAAAAATATAAATACTCATTACGTGACTTACGTAACTATAGCTCCTTTGTACATCACCTTTATAATGACAATAAAAATATTTTTAAAAAACAATGAAAGTTATATCTACGATTTGTGGAGATGATAGATATTAATAAAGGACATCAAGTTGGGTGCCAGTGGCTCATGCCTGTAATCCTAGCTGCTCAGGAGGCTGAGATCTGAGGATTGTGGTTTGAAGCCAGCCTGGGTAGAATAGTTAGTGAGACTTTATCTCCAATAAACTACTCAGAAAAAGCGGTAAGTGGTTTAAGCTATTGTGGTTTAAGTGGTATAGTGCTAACCTAGAGCCACAAAGACACACAGGGACAGCGCCCAGGACCTGAGGGGCTGGCAAAAAAAAAAATCATTAAGTCTGGTTGGACTTTTAAAATCCCATGTCTCAAGCTACCCAGAGTTTATCCTTTTGTTTTCTATTTGTTGTTGTTGTTTGGTTTATTGCATGTTTGTTGTTTTTATTGTAAATGTACAAAGGGGTTACAGTTACATGTCAGATAATGACAAAAGGTACAGAAATCAAAAACAGTGACAAAAGCGGGGAAAAATAAGAAAAAAGAAAACTGCAGACAGTACAGTAAAAAAAAGTCTCTTGTTTCCATTTCTTGGAGTTCATTTCCATAAGCATCTTATTTTCTATTTGGAAACTAGTTCCTAAAGACTGATTTCGGGATACATGAAATGGAGAGGAAGGCACAGCATATTGTTTATGAGCTGATGTTTCTAATAGGGGATAAAGCTACATAATTCTATATTGAAGAATACTAATCTACATTAAGCTTTCTTTTGGGGAAACATTTACAATTAACATTCTGATAGATGTACAAATAATGTATAGGAATAATTTTCCTACTACATTTATGTAAAGAATAGAAAGAATAGGCTTTAAAATGTGTCGCTATCCCTTTATCAGCCCCTAGGCATATCATACCGAAGTGAATGTGGGCCTTTTTAAACCTCTTTAATATGAAATTTTCAATATACATAAAGTAAATAAGGAGGCCCAAGTTGCAGGTCAGCTGCTGTCATCATTCTACCAATCTCATCTGTACCTTCTGCTCCTATCTTTACTTGATTATTAGCATTTTGTTTGGGTTTTGTATAACATTTCACTTTGAGATACACCTTATGTGTAAAAGTTTTAACAAATATACTTGTGTAACTCACACTATAAAGATTATATATAATGTGAGAGTTTTTAAAAACCAAGTATTGAAATCTTCATTCTGTAACCTATTGGGTCTGAAATTCACTCATTTGCCATTAAATTACATCTTTGTAATTATACTGAAGTTAAACCTTAGATCTGAGAGATTTACTATTCTTTTTTTGTTTGTTTTTTTGGTTTTGGGGTTTTTTTTTTTTTTTTGTCAGTTGTGGGGCTTAAACTCCCGGCCTTGGCGCTGTCCCTCAGCCTCTCTGTGTTCAAGGCTAGCTCTCTACCACTTGAGCTACAGCGCCACTTCCAGTTTTCTGGTGGCTTTTATTGGAGATAAAAGTTTCACGGACTTTTCCTGCCTGGGCTGGCTTTGAACCATGATCCTCAGATCTCAGCCTCCTGAGTAGCTAGAATTACAGGGGTGAACCACCAGCGCCCAGCTTGCTTTTGTTTCTTTACACTTGGATTCTAACATACCCTACATTTATACCACAACTTAATTAGGAATATTTTTATGTGCCAGTCTTTTGCTCAAAATCGTACATGGTTTTTGTCTGGGAGCTTGAGATTTGAGAGGACTGGTCTAGATCTGTGCTGATAGTCACTAGCCACATGGGCTATTGAGCACGTAAAGTCTGAGTTAAGATGTGCTTTAAGTGTAAAACACAAGCTTCTTTTGACTTGGTACCAAAAAAAGTAAAGCATTTCATTAAGAATCTTTTGTGTTGCTTGCATTTAAAATAACATAATGGCTATATAAAGTAATATATAGGTTATTGATTTCATCAGTTTCTCGTTTTTAATGTGGCAGCACATACAATAAATCATATTTGTTACTTACGTTATATTGTATTGTACAGTGCTGATCTAGATGGCAAAATAGATAAAGGGAAAAGTGCTTTTATTTTGAAATATATAAACTTGTGTGCATCCTGATTGTAAATTGACAGAGAGCTAGTTTGTACTTTTTTTTTTTGGCAGGAATGATTTCAGGGTATAAATGTGATCACAGAATGTTCTCAGAGACTGTTCTGCTGGTTTTGCTGGCTAGATTAAAAAAATTCATGTTTGATCTGTTTTATGACTTATTCAACAGAAAGTAAACACTTCTTTTATAGTAACTTGTACTTGATTTTAAAAAACTAAACTATTTGGACTCAAAAAATAAAAATGTAATCAAGATATTAATGGTTTATTCTCAAAAAATTGAGAATATATGGTTTGAATTTCTGAGTTTACTTGCAGTAAGGAATCTGAAGATTATACTACAGTTGCAAATATATATAGAAAATGAGTAACAATGATGTAAATTGTGCATGTAAAGGATTTTTCTGTATTTAGTATAGCTGTTCAGTTTGTTAGATTAATTCACTTGTATCATTCTTTATGATTTCCAACATAAACCTTATTATTTTATTGTTATTATAGAGGTGATATACAGAGGGGTTATATTTACATGCATCAGGTAATAAGCACATTTCCTTTTATATAGTATAATCTGTTCCCTCATTCTCTCCCATTCTCTTCTTTCCATCTCTACCTATGAGTTGTATGATTCCCTTTAATCAATGTTCAGTGCACTTCACTGCTGCACTTTTTCCCCTTTTTTCCCCTGCGTTAACTAAAAAGAAAAAGATTTCTTGTATCCATATCTTGGAATTCATTTCAATATATATATGAGAAAGCGCTAGGGTATTATATTGCATCTTTGTGCAGTACCCTGACACTATCCTCTTTTGGTCTCCCTGTATGTGAGTACAAAATAAATTTTATTTTATTTTTTATTTTTTTGGGTCCGGTCATGGGGCCTGAACTCTGGGCCTGGGCGCTGTCCCTCAGCTCTTCAGCTCAAGGCTAG